ATATCAGAAATAATAAAAGGATTAGGGGTGTTGGGCACCAAGATAACAATTGGAAAATTTGTCTATATGCGGATGACATATTAATATCTATTACTGATTCGCATATTTCTTTACCATTTCTAATGAAGGAATTTGAAAACTATAGTATAGTTTCTAATTATAAATTGAATATAAGTAAAACAATAGCTATGGTGATGAATATCCAAAGTAACATTTTAATTTCTATGAAAAAAGATTATGATTTTATTTGGACCAATCAGGAATTCATTTATTTGGGTTTAGTGATTACTGCTGATCCAATGCGTGCTATGGAAACCAATTTCTTAAACTTATTAAAGGAGACTAACTTACTCCTGAAAGTATGGAGAGTTCATGAAATATCTTGGTGGGGTAGGACTAATACAATCAAAGCTCATATAATCCCGAAATGGACATACATGTTCCATATGCTTCCCCTCTTGATACCCATACATTAGTTAAATATGATTCAAAGTAGTATTAATAATTATATCTGGAAAGGCAAAAGGCCCAGAATTAATACTTTTATTCTTTCAAAGAAGGGTTACCAGGACGGCATGGGGTATCCCTTAATCAGTCAGATATATCAAGCAAATATGCTGGTTCATGCTAGTAAATTGCAAATAAAGGAGGCACAACTCCAAGTATGGTATAAAATTGAATCTTATAGAGCCGGAGTAAAAAACTTAGAATCTCTTTTAAAGTAATAATTATTCACTCTGCAACTTACCATCAAAATCCTCCCTGATTCTTCTTCAAATCTTAAAAATGGAACATTATTAAGAAAAAGTTGAATATTAATATTAATAATATTAAAATTTCATATTGAATCTTTAGAACAAATTTTGTCAGATATAAATTTAAAAAACTGGTATAGAAATTCTCCTTATATAATATCAGATCTTTATAATAGACAACAATTGAAAAGCTTTGAAGAAGTAAAAATTTTACTAGATCTTCATTCTAGAGAAGTGTTTAACTTTCTCCGTATTAAAAGTTTCCTTAAAGAAAACTTGACATCCCTGTACAGCAGAGAAGGGGGCCTAGTTACAAAAATATTTACAGGATATGAAGTTAAAAATGTGTCATCGATTGCTATAGGATTGATAAGATTGAAGGAGGGTCAGGATACTCCCAAGGCATTAATAAAATGGGAAACTGAATTAGCGATAAATATACCACTGGATTTGTGGTGTAAGTCTTTTTTGAGGACAAAAAAATATATCCATTGTCTGAATATTATGGAAACTTTTATTAAAACTGCATACAGATGGTATATGGTCCCTTTACGATTAGCAAAAACTTCACAGACTTACCCGCCTAATTGTTGGCGCTGGTCAGCCAGATGGTTCATTCATACATATTTGGTGGTCTTGCCCCAGAATTAGATCCTTTTGGAATTTGACTTTTAATCTTGTCTATGTGTTAGCGGACAAATCATTTGAACAAAAGGCAAAGTTAGCTTTTTTAAATATAATAGGTCCAGATAAGAACCAAGAAACTGATATGGTTCTTATTCATTGTTTACTGGCAGCTAAGATCCTAATTGCTAGACATTGGAGACATATAGAGGTTCCCACTAAGGACCAACTTAAATCTCAGGTGCTATACCAGTTAGAGATGGAAAAATGTGTATATTCTATAAATTTAATCTCAAATCATAGAATATTGGAAATATATATCATTCTTTTAGAAAGGACGAATAAGTTCTAAATTGCGATTTAAGGGATCTAACACGCATAGATGATCCTTGATACAGATACTTTGATTGACCAGGGTTTTAAGTATTCTTATTATTGTTTAATCACTTGGATGTATTTTTGGCTCTGAGCTTATTCCTTTTTTTCTGTTTCTCTGGGGGTTTTGGTAGTAAGTGGCGAGCTCTCTGACCTAGTATTATGATGTAATAGAGAATGATCAATATTGTTTGTCTTGTCTTGTTTACTTATTATTTTTTTTTTCTGTGTTGTAAAAAGTATTAGGAAGGTATATACAGACTTTTCTACAAAAGTAAAAGATATACTTATGTTTAGTAATTGTATGTTTTTTGGGAGGACTGTCATACTCCCTTCTGTGACTGTTAAGTCTTTTATAAATCAAATAAAGATAATTTTCAAATTAAAGCTATCCCATCTAATAGATGCTGGTAAGGTTGCAGCTAGACGGGGACATACGATATAGTGGTGGAATTGCCCTCAGGTTAGGTCATACTGGACACAAGTGGTAGCATAGCTTTCTCAGGCCCTGGACAAGCCAATTCACCTTATTCTGTGGATCTCTCCTTTCTAGGCCCATCAAAGACACTTTGACATTTATGTAGTACATACATATTTCAAATGTGGAGGACACAATCTAAAAACAGTACAATAGTCCATTTTAGATCAATGACACAAACAATCTTATTTATAGCATTATCCTTTATTATTTGGCTTTGTATAGATATTTATAGGTATATTTATAGAAGTTTTAGGAATTACTAATCAGTCATCGGAAATCAGGTTTTATCATCATGTTTTCAAACATGTTCAATAGGGAAGTAAAATACACCAGTTGATGCAACTTGGGAGAATATATTTTTAATACTTTTAATATACCTTATATGTTATTATAAGAAATTATACTTCATGATACTGAATCATGGGAAACATGTGACTCATACCAGTAAACACGGAAAAAATACAACGTCATATCCAAAGAGGTATTATTTGAGTGTTGAGTCGTGTTCTTGGCACGGATCTCAAAGAAAAGACTTGTTTAATCATGTTCTATAAGAGAGTAATTACTGTTTATATTGTATACAGGTTTAATACTTACTATTTTACTTAATGACTAATATACCTGAATATTGTCATTCATTACAAATTAAGTAAATACACACTAGTAATAGTTTGAGTCACTTGGTAGTCGTATCTTTTCATTGTCTTTAGGATAAGTTATGTTATAAGTAGGAACACACTTGCAGATAAAAATTTATTATTATTAATATTATTTTATTTTTATTTCACCCATTTTATGTAACACCTGATGCAGGGAAAAAGCAAAGGGGGAGTGAATAACACTGCAGTGATCTGTACAGGAGGAAACCATAATACAATACAAGAAACCATACAGTCAAAATAATAAGGAACAAAGTAGGAACAAAGAGGAACTTACTGTCCAAGGGTTGGATAGAATAGGAGTATGGCAGCGCCTCTGTACATCCCAAGTTCGGGAATACGCTGATTAAGGACTCACTCAAGCATACAGCCCACCCATCGCCTGCCTAAAAAGTGCCAGATTATACGGCAGACAGCATCTACCATCTAGAACAGGGGTTCTCAACGTTAGTCCTCAGGACCCCCTACCAGTCCAGGCTTTAGGGATTACCTGGGTGTGTCTAAGGTGTTTAGAAAAAAAAAAACACCTTAGAGTCTAAGGTGTTTTTTTCCCTTTTTCTAAACACCTGAGACACACCCAGGTAATCCCTAAAGCCTGGACTGGTAGGGGGTCCTGAGGACTAACGTTGAGAACCCCTGATCTAGAAACTAGTTATATATTTAATTTGTACTTTGAGATTTAATCGTTTTTCTTTACGATTACATTTCATGTGTGTTTCGTTTAGAGAGGAGCTGGGTTACACTTCGCAGTGCAGTGGTACTTTCTAAAGTATGTGTTTAGCATGTGTTTTAGATCCATTATACATTGCGTTACTAGATTTGTCCTAAACCAGCAACTTCTATTCTAATCTATATTTAGACAGGTTTATGTGCATGAACCTGCATGTTTATACATCAACTTGGCATATTATATATTGTATTAGCAATTTTTCTTTTAACACCTTTTCATGTGGATGTGTTATCAAATGCTTGCTTGGCTATCAATGCACCACAAAAAAATATAGGATGCCAAAAAAATAATAAGAAAACGCGTAAGGACAAGTTACCCATTTGTAAACCCTACAAAAAATATTCGGTGCAGCCTGTTACCCCATATCATAATATTGAAACCATAACATCTGGTAGGCCAAATTTCTTTCAATACATGCCAACCTGCCGTCAGTCTTCTTTTTTTCTTTTTTTTCTTTTTTTGTTATTCAATCGGTAGCTTTGGGTGGTAATTCTAGCCGTGGGGTGCCTTTTCATTCACCAGCAACATGGATTTTCCTCACTAGATAAAAAAAAAATATTTTGAGATTTTATATGGCCTTTGAGTAGCAATAAACCCCATTTGCTGAAGTTTCCATTTCATTTTTCAGTTACATATTCACAAGTATATATATTAATAAATAAAGAGGGGATATTTCTTTTGAAAGAAAGACAGGTTTTTAACTTTAATCAGTTTGAAACATTGCCATCAGAAAAAACAGACCAATTTAGGGAGCAAAATGGCCATAAACTTTATTTATACAACATATATTTGTCCTAGGAGTACATTATGCAATATCAATAATATATATATAAAAATAGTTGCATTTCGCATTCATGGAATACATGCAATTCAAACCCACAGATGTAGTCGTTACCTGGAGATAAGACAATATAAGGCAGCAAATAATTACTTGTTTACTTTTCAGCACATTTTCTATTAACTAAAACCTCAAACAAAAACAAAATGCCGCATAGAGAAAAAAATTAACATAAGGGAGTTAACATAAAAAATTAGTTATGGCATAAAGAGGAAGTATGCAACAAAAGTACAATTGCATCAAATAGTAATTATAACATAAGCAAAATAACAACAAAGAGCGAAGCATTTGGATAAGCTTTTTCAAATGATTTAACATTTTTGGATACGCTTTTAAAATATATATATTTTTAAAAAATATAACAATGTAAAAAATTATATCAATATATAAAAAAGATACCAAAAATATTATATTCTTGATATTTTTTTGATACATTGATATATTTCTTATATTTTGAAATAATTCATCATTTAAAAAAAAAAACTATTTGATATCCACTAAGTGAAGAGAATAGATTTGAGAGAGAACTTAGTGAATATTAAATATTATACACCTTTCCACCCACCTCTGCCTCCGGGTGAACCAAGAGTTGTGCGTCTCCCGTGTTGCGAGTCCTGTGTGGCAGACTGGGACTACAGTTTGCCTCAACCTGTTGAGTGGTCGGTATAGAAGAGGACACTGTGGAGACCACTGTTCCTCCTTGAGGAACTTCGAAGGTGCTGTGGAGGTATGGCGGAATGCCGAACTGTGTTTTTAGACTGCTGGTGCGGAACCTTAACCTGGGCCTACACAAAAGCTTTTGTTCTTCTTTCACCTCTTTTTGTGCTTTAATCTTAGCTTTCTTTGTACTACTCCTCTTATGGTCCGCTTTACTGTAATACTCACTTAGTAACTCTCTAACAAGCTGATGACTGTGATTAATGGTATATCTTTTTTCTAGGGAACCTATGCTTTTTCTGTTGCTTACCATTGATTCAGAAAGTGACTACTAATTTACCGTTATTGGCGACTGTTGCTAGTCTAATCGATATTGTTACCATATCCTGCTTATTGAGTCACTGACAACTTGTGAGATATAAAGATGTCCTATGCTTGGATGTTTTTTATGCTAAATAGGACCTGTTTCTGCTATATAACTTTTGTCATGTACAGCAGTTTTTTATGTTTTACTTTTAAATGATAACAAAATTAAAAATGGAAATGCTGAACACCTTCTGTAAAGTGTTACAGAATCACTACCCCATCTTATCACATCTGTTAATAAATTCCATATTTTAATTACATATGGTCTATAGCTGTTACACTTCCTTGACACTTGGTGTCCCAACAGCTATGCTAAGTTTATCTCCTTTCACCTGTTTTTTCAGATATTTCCGTAATGCAATACTCCTACTGAGACCATATTTGTGATGAAAACTTGTTAAATGTAACAACATTTTACACCCCTTCTGCATTTCACATCTAGTTTCTAACCTCGAAGGCCTTGGATGTGAGTATAACTAAAAAATAAGAAAGCCCATACCATTCATTCATCAATAGGGGAAGGATTGTGGGCTTGTTAGTGCGTGAAACTGCACCACCGATGACATGCACTCCCTTATTAGGGGGTGTCAGACTGACACACAGCAAAAATAAAATAAATAATACCTCTATGTCACAGTACTAGTGATATACACAAATGGCACTTATCTGAATGCATAAACATGTGTGCCTAAAAAGGAAAAAAATAATTAAAAAGAGTTACGCAATATGCATAATAAAATGACCATAAATAAATATTTAATGATCTAAGTGCAACAGATAAGATATGTATAAAATTGCGAATCATTGGGTCAACATAACAGGATGTTGGGGTTTGTGTGTATAATTGAGCAGGTTCTGCAATTATAAGGGTAAAGAAAATTGTGAAAAAATAGTTAATAGATTCTAAAAATAAAAGAAAGATGTACAACTAATATGTATCAATAATATATGTAATGACAATTTTATTCGCATATCTATCTATCTATCTATCTATCTATCTCTACCTTTGTCTCTGTCTATCCATCTATTTCTGTCTGTCTGTCTATCTATTTCTGTCTGTCTGTCTGTCTATATCTATCTATCTATCTATATCTATTCTAAGTAATTTTCTAGGAGTTTGCTATTTACGCAAGGTATTAATTGCTAGACTTGTACAGCTGGAACTAAAAAAAAAATGCCTTGTAATCTACAGTCAAGCAAACCAACCGGTCCAGGATTTACCTAATCATGTCTTATACATTGAATATGACTCCACAGGAAATTCCTGTGTGGATTGGTTCGTTCTTGTGTAAATTAAATTTGAGGAATTTGATTTGATGGAACCAAATGAAAAAACATCTAGTCTATTAACTACAAGATGTAAATCGCAAGCAGACATGTGGAAAAAAAAACCTCATACAATTCAAAAGGCGTGCAAATTACAAATTGTTTCTTTTTTACTAAAGGATGTAAAGAGGGCTGTTGGGAACTTCCCATGTCTATAGTTAGGAGATCTCACATTTCTTCCTTCAAAATATGACATTAGGTTTCCCAGCACCTGTGCCAAGCTTGTTTTGCTCCTTCTGGCTATATCTGCAGAAGCTGATGATATGACAATACACCCACCATGCAAAATTGTTCCTTAGGGCATATTTACTGAGAAGAACTTGTTCACCTCTTTCCCCTGAATGTAATTGATAGTTTCTACCTTTTGAAACAGATGTGGTTAAATGTTGGGAGCTTATTTTTTGATAGACGAGTTAAAGGAAAACTTTAGTGTTAGGAATACAAAGATGAACTGGAGACTGTATCTCCAGAAGGATATTGATACTTTAGAGAGAGTTCCGAGAAGAGCTGCTAAACTGGTTCGTGGATTGCAGGATAAAACTTACCAGGAAAGGTTCAAGGATCCTAACATGTATAGCTTGGAGGAAAGACGAGACAGGGGGGATATGATAGAAACATTTAAATATATAAAGGGAATCAACACAGTAAAGGAGGAGACTATATTTAAAAGAAGAAAAACTACCACAACAAGAGGACATAGTCTTAAATTAGAGGGACAAAGGTTTAAAAATAATATCAGGAAGTATTACTTTACTGAGAGGGTAGTGGATGCATGGAATAGCCTTCCAGCTGAAGTGGTAGAGGTTAACACAGTAAAGGAGTTTAAGCATGCGTGGGATAGGCTGTCCTAGACTTAAGATAAGGCCAGGGACTAATGAAAGTATTTAGAAAATTGGGAAGACTAGATGGGCCGAATGGTTCTTATCTGCCGTCACATTCTATGTTTCTATGTTTCACTTTTCTTATACCATACAGAGGATCTATAAAAACGATTTGTATTACAATAATAGGTAAGTGGGTTCAAATATTTTGTTAATTACTTCTGTAAGAGGAATAAACTAATCAAGGAGACTGGGCGTCTTCTGGTCAGTAGCACCTTGGTGGTGAGAGGAAATAACTTGGACATACCCTGACCCCTGGACCAATCCTCTGGACCAAAACCATGTTAACATAGAAACATAGAAACATAGAATGTGACAGCAGATAAGAACCATTCGGCCCATCTAGTCTGCCCAATTTTCTAAATACTTTCATTAGTCCCTAGTCTTATCTTATAGTTAGTATAGCCTTATGCCTATCCCACGCATGCTTAAACTCCTTTACTGTGTTAACCTCTACCACTTCAGCTGGAAGGCTATTCCATGCATCCACTACCCTCTCAGTAAAGTAATACTTCCTGATATTATTTTTTGTTATTTTCTAACCCTAGGGGTGATGTTACTGTAACTTCCCCTGAGCCCTCCACAGCTTTTGGACATTTATTCAAAATGCAAATTAATTTTGTACATTATTTTTGGGGGTGAGTTGCAAGAGTATTTTTTGCGGTTCGAGATCTGCAATAATACACCCAATTACTTATATACCATACTAATTATAAGTGCTTATGTACATTGTGCGATTTTTTATATTTTTCAAATACAGTCCCTAACCAAAAGGTTGTATATTTCGATAGCCATTTTAAAATAATATGATTTATCAATATTTTTACACAATTTAATTATCTTTATACATTTTTATTAATGTAACAACAGCCTTTAGGTAAACTCAGTGACAAGTGTAGAATTTGAACAACAATAAATGTAGGTGATGTGTTATAGAGGAAAAAATATTAGAAATTATTCACTTATGTAAGTTGTAGAAAATGTAATTAAAGACAAGTAGGTGACCGGTCATAAATTCCAGTTTTAACATAAATTCTGAAATTTGGCAACAAAAAAAACCTCACATAACTCACATTTTAATGACTAATCACCTTGGTTTGTAGCAGTTACTATATTTTTTTTATATTTGGCCAAAGATTAGATTGCCTTCACATATTCACATGTGTTGGGAGTTCCCTAAAAAGAAAAACATATGGCTAGACTGTGTGCAATACTGAGATATATTTTTTTAGACATATTGTCATTATACTCTGGAAAAAAAATGTAACTCCATAATGAACTGATGCCATCTGGCTTACAACATGACACAGGTCAAATTCATTCAAAAACTTTTATTTTCAATTTCAGTTTGTATATTTTAAAGGCAATGAGAGTGGAGTTCCCCACTCCAAGATGGTTTTGCAATACAAAATCTTCACTTCAAAGCTGTGCAAATTGGATGCTTCCATTGTGCAACAGTAGAATTTCCAAACCAGTTTTGGAACATTCACAAGAAATGATATTGTTTTAAGAATTATATTTCTAAAATAATGATGTCATAATGAATAAGCAAAAAAAAGTGACAGAGCTCAAACATCACGTGCAAGAATCTTAACAATTCTAACTTCCTTTGCTGAATATGTCGTGGATCTCAAGGGAAGCTGATGTGAGGTCTTCTCCAACTGCAAATAAAACCTCAAAAAACAGAATGCCAAAAAAGCCTCCACTAGAAAAAAAAACATAATAAAAAATATAAAATACATTTTATTGATACATTGAATAGAAAACAGCAAGGGGCCTTAATGATAAAAGTAAAATTCCTCCACTATAAATTGTTGTATATTATCATCTGAAATTTTTAATTTTTTAATCTATTCACTACCAAGTTATTATAAAACAATAAAAACAATATAGTCCTTGAATACCCGCTTATTTCAGTGCTGGATTTTTTAAAGGGACATTCTAAGAATCAAAACAACTTTGGCTTCATGAAGCAGTTTTGGTGTATTGCTCATGCAGTCTTACTGCTCAATTATCTACAATTTATGCGTTGAATTACTTTTATTTCTGTTTATGGAGCCCTCCCGACCCTCCATCATGAAAATAATGGTTTCATTTTCATTTAGCTCTTACTGCACAGTGTGTTTACTCTAGTGGTTCTAATCTCCTGCACTTTAAAATAAATTTTAATCACATATAGGAGACTGTTGTAGGCTCTAGAGCAGGGGTCCTCAAAATTTGCAAACAGGGGTCAGTTCACTGTCCCTTGGACACGGTTGGGGGCCGGACTAAGGTTTGAATTTTTTTTAACTAATTCCGATACATACTGAAACAGACACATAGACATATACAGACACATGCATACATACATACATACAGACACACACAAGCATAAGGACATACATACACACACATACATACATACATACAAACACAGACAGGCACATAAACACACACAAACACATACTGACATACATACAGATACATGCACACACATATACACACAGATATACATATTGACATACATACTGAAATACATACACATACTGACATACATAGACACATACAGATACACACATACAGACACATACTGACATACATACAGCCACATACACACACACACACACACACACACACACATACATACATACATACATTCATACATACACATACATACATTCATACATACACATACATACATCCTGAAATACAGACACACAGACATACATACTGAAAGATATGCACACAGACACATACTGAC